ATAACTCTCACAGAACAGCACTTACATATAAAATGTCTCATTTCACAGGCCTGACACAAGTATGTATTCTGGGCTTTAAAAGCTGCTCTTTTGGCAGATTAGGACTCTCCTGAGATCCAGCTCCTGCTCTCCAGCACAGACTGATGAACACTTGTCAGATATATTTGGTATCTGGTGCTAACTCTTGGGTTCTGCGCTTCATAGGTGGTCTTGGCAGATGAAAGGGTGGAGGAGAAGGGCAACTCCAACCCTCCATTCCCAGTGTTTGCACTGGGAACAGCAGCACCATGGCAGTCCTTCAGGAGCAGAAGTGACTTTGACATTGGCCTGATGGGACCATGTGTGCTGGAAGGTGATGAAGATGTGGGGTTTTCACCGCTGCTCCCAAAGGATGTGGATGGGAAACACTCATGGCTCTCCAGGCCTGGATTCTGGGTTTCCTTTTCAGCAGAGCATCTCCAGATGTACAGTTCACAGAAAGAACCTTTTGGTTCAGCCTCAGAGAGCTGACAGTTCCCAGTAACCTTTCCTGGGAGGTTCCTACAGATGTTGACCTCTGCCATCATTCCCAGATGGAGGGATTGGAGCACAGACTGCCAAGGCAGAATTGCCACCATCACCTCCTTTATATCCAGCAGCACCACCAGCCTGTCACCTTTCCCAGAGCTTGAGGGAGGGTCAGTCTCCCTTGTGGAAAATCAAAGGCAGACAAGAGAGTAATTCAAAGATTGGATTCCTCTTTTATTGCCTGATCCCACTGCTCTTTGCTGACAGTCACAGAGCTGCTGGGGTGTGCCTTGTCCTGCTGTGTAAAGAATGAAGAGTCTTGTTCATTCAAAACCACAGAGTCATGGAATGGTTTGGGTTGGAAGAGACCTTAAATCCCATCCAGTCACACCCCCTACCCTGGGCAGGGACAGTTCCCACTATCCCAGGCTGCTCCAAGCCCTGTCCAGCCTGGCCTGGGACACTGCCAGGGATCCAGTGGCAGCCACAGCTGCTCTGGGCACCCTGGTCAAACACCTTTGCTGACAGAGCATGAGTTTCAGTTCAGGTCCTCAATAAATGCAAAGACATGACCTTCATCAAAAACAGGCAATCAGGAGAATAGGCTGTTACATTATTAATGTGAGGTTCCAAATTAGTTTTTTTCATCATGGCATAGGAAAATATTGGGTTTTGAAGTGAAATACAATGCACAACAACAAAGAGTGGTGGCTTCTGCAAGCATCTGGAAACCTGGATCACAATCAAAAGTGAAATAATTCAGCTCTCTCTGTGAGAGTTCAAAGGCAGGCTCAGAAAAAACCCAACCTCTGCTTATCTGGTGGGCTTTCTAACCATCAGAGAAGGTACAGAGTGTCTCCAGATTCAGCACAACCCCCCTCGTATCTTTTCCAAATGACCAGTTACTGATTGTGAGTGTTCTGCATTACTGGCCAGAGAGAAGAAAAACGTCCTTAGGAACAGTCTCCACAATCATCCCTCATAACAGCACAGACATGCATAGTTTCACCCATCAGCCCTGGAAAATGTGCAGCTTCCCCTGACCTGCTGGAGGGGACGGGAAGTGTCTGTGTGATGAGATGCAGAGGCTCCGTCTTGAAACCCTTTTGGATAAGAGGGAAAATGTAAAAAATGTATCTTCTAAAGAAGAGAAGATTGGTGTGACAGCTCCTGAATGAATTGGATCCCAGGGTTTGCAGTCTATCAGCTCAGCTCTCTGCTTCATATTTGGTGTTTTTCCATCTGTAGGAAAAAAACATTATCATTTAGGATGAACTTTGTCCACTTCATGACAGATAAAATTATTGCACCAGCTACAGATGAAGGGAGAAGTAGGTTTGCTGCATCATTTTCCATGCTCCTGTGTATTCCAAAATCTTCAATAATGGCCTAAAATCTGACAGAGCAGAAAACCACCAGCTGTTCTGAGCTCCTTTTCCAGTTGCACAGCTGCTTAGAGAAGAGAATCTGTCTGATTAAACGGAAGGGATTTCAGAGAGAGCAGCAAAATTTAAGAACTGAACAGGTTTAAGTAAGCAATGACTGCAACATGAATAAGTCCAACACTGTAAGCACAAAACAAGGGGAGGAAATATTGGGCAGGAATTCAGAGCATAGAGCTGTAGCTGTGCTTTAAAATGCTTTAGGTAAATAAGGTAAGCTCTCTCAAAGTGAGAGCTCTTGGGGAGAAGTGGCAGGAATTCAAAGCATAGAGCTGTAGCTGTGCTTTAAAATGCTTTAGGTAAATAAGGTCAAAAGACTAAGCAGACATTCTTCTTTTGTTATAAACCGTGCTTGGAGTTCAAATATTTGGAAATAAATTTTAAACTAGCCAGCAAAAGTATGTTTCTAAGGCAAAGAAAGAAGAATTGCAGAAGTTTTTGCTTGCTAAGTGAAATGAGAACAAAGGCATGAATGGAAAGGGGCAAGGAGGGCAGAGTTAGTGAGAAATTATCAAAGGAAGAGTCTTGCTTTGTCTCCACTAGTGATAGATTGGATCATCTTCTCTACCCCATTGTCCCTGCTTTTGAGCTTTTAAAGTGAAGCTGGAGATCTTTTTTAACTTTAATTCCGTGGTTTTCCTGTGTGAGCCCCAGAGGAGACAGGCACAGCTCAGCAGAGCTCTGAGAATCCATGAACATGAAATATTAGCAAGTATTTCATTGTGTTCTGCTGCCTCAGGGCCTGTGCAGGCTCTGCAAACACTGCAGTGGGATTTTGACCCCAAATCTACTTTGCCAGTAGGCCGAGGGAAATCCAGCAGTAACAATCCACTGGCAGCCACCCAGCTTGCCTTGGAAAACAATTAGACAGCTCTTTTCTGGTACCGAGCAAGTTTCTTTTGATGTCTCAGAAAATTATTCCTTCTTCATTTGTACACCTGACACAAATCCTGGGAGCAGCCATGTGCCCTACATACAAATATTTCTGTCTGAGCAGTTGCCTGGAATCAGGACCTGAATTTTCTGGTTTTATCCTCTCTTCCAGGTGCAAATGTGGGATCCAAACAACAGTGGAGTTTTAAAGGAATGCAGAAGCAAGATGTGAGTTCAGATGTAAATATTTCAGCCATCCCTATGCAAACAGGGGCAATTCCTTTCTTTCTCCTTGGTGATTCTGTCCCAGGGATGCTCAAGCGTGTCACAGATATCTGTGACCTATGGGCAGAGTAACTCAGATTAAGGGATCTGCCAAGATGCAGCTGACAGGAACACACAAACAACCATTAGGAAATCTCTCCAGTGGCTCCCAAGCCTGCCTTGCTGTAATTGTGAGCTGCCAGCCTGCCACTGAGACTTTGCTCAGTCCCCAACACAGGTGAAATTTCAGAGACTTTTCCCAGCTTTTAATTACATTGCTGTGCAACACAACTCACTGTGCTTTGTGCATACCTTGAGGGAGGTGTAAGGTCTGAGAGTTGTTGTAGAGAGTTGGGAATTAATTACAAAGGACACAGAGCTGGAGTTCCTCTCAAGTACTTGCTCAGCTGTGTAACCTTGGGGCAAATCACTCAACTGCTTTGTGCCCAAGTAAACCCAGCTGTAAAACCATCTTGAAAACCAGATGGTGCACAAAGATTTAAAATGCTCAGGAGAATGATGAGGGATGAGAAAAAATAAAATTTGAAAGACAGAATTCTACAGTTCACTGCTGTTGGTATTGATTCCAGCAGAGTTAGTCTGGACTAAATCAATAGAACTGAGAGGAGAATTTTCTTTGATATCCAAAAATCACCCCCCACGCTCAAATCTTTGTTTTCCCTCTCCCCTCTTGACTTTGTGGCAGTGCTTTCTCTCTAGAGGGTTAATTTTAAACCTTCAGTAGAATACATGTTTTCCCCTGGCAGCCTGAAGTTTCTAATTCAGGATCAGGTTCTACATGACTAAACTTTGATCTCCTACAGGATTATTTTTAGGCACTTAATTCTATAGCATTCTTTTCTCCCTGCTTTTTGTGCTGCCCTTCAGCCTTGACTCTGGGGCACAGTGAGGTGTCCTGGAGTTCAGCTGCTGCACCCCAAATAAAAATACTGAGCTTTACTGCTTTCTGTGGATGGTTAGTCCTGGCTTAAAACCAGTATTCATACTCCTGGTCAATGAACAAAGGAAATACTAAAGTTTCTGTAGCAGAATAAATGTTTGCCACGTGTTAGTACCTAAGAGAAGACTTAAATGTTTCAATCTTTTTTGGCTTTAGCCAAAATGTAATTTTTTTTCCTCCCCCCATGAATGTGGGAATACTTATTTGCATAAGGAGCATTTCCTTACATAAGGAATATTTCCAAAGCAGGGTGTCTTAGGCTGTAAGAAGGGAAAACAATAGATTTCAGTGTAAACAAGGAATATTTAAATATGTGACACATAAAGAAGCCATTTTATTCACTACTCAGGGAAGACCTGGCATGTTTTTATTAATCACTAATGAAACTAAAACATTGACAGGTTTGAATTTTGGTGACATTTCTTCCCAAATTAGAAAGGATTTGAGCTGAAGGAAGTTGCAAACAAATCAATGTCAGCAAAATGTCTTCAGCAAATTTAGCCCTTGTTATGCAGTACTGGAGTGGCAAAATTGTTAATTGCTACTCAAAATTGGTGATCATTTTTTCAACACAAAAATACTTCAGCTTCTGTGTGTCTTGCAAACTGCTCTATTTCTTGTTATTGAATCTTTAGACTCAATATTTGAGCCATTGAATCTCTAGATTCAATATTTGATTTATTGAATTTCACATTCAATATTTGAGCTGTGCTATTATTAATTTAAAATGTTGAAATTCCAAGCCATAAATACCAAAGTGCCTGGGATGATTAATGACACTGCTCAAACATCAAATTGTTAATTAAGCACAAGCCAAAGTAAAAATTCCCTGATATAATTTGAGTCCCTTTTTGGATGATCCAACTTTTCCCCTCCTAATACCACTTGAAACTGAATTTAAAACCAGGTGCAGAGCATTTGTGGGAACGAAAGACTCTTAAATGAATCAGAACACAAGACATTCTCAGATGAGCAGCTGTGGAAAACAATAAATAAAACAGAAAGTGAGCTGGAGATAAGGCAAATCCAGGTGATAAAATCATGGCAAGAGCTGTCTAATATAGGGAAATGAAAAATACAAAGTACATTTTAAAGCCCTGAGCTATACAAATACTCATCAGACTCCATTTCCATTTTTGCTGCTCCTAATGAGGAAAAGGTTGATTTAGCTCAGTCTTGCAGATGAAACTGCAGCTGGGAGTGTTTTTCCATATCCATCAAACTCGGGTTTCCCTCCAGTGTCCCTGAGTGTAAATCACTGAGCTTGACTTCATTTCATGGTCCTTGAGTTGCTCATCTGCTCTGTTTGAAGAAGAGTTGGTGCATGATGAATTTCACATGGTCCAAGCCCGTTCCTCCCCACTCTGAGCACGGGGTGCTGGGAGCTCCCTGCTCTTGTTATTGGTTCCATAAATCAGTTCATGGGATGCAGCCCCAAATCCTCGGACGTGCTGAGGCACAACCAGACGCTGCCACTGGGATGTGTCCTGACTGGCTGGGATGCTCTGGGAGCTGTTCAGGGAAGCCTGGGTTTAGCAACAAACACTCAACAAAATAATGAATTCCCAAAGCCAAAAATTTCAGGTGTCGTAAAACCTTTTCTTCTTAAAAAATCCCGGACAACCTAATGATGTAAATATGTTTTGTGTGAAGGCTTTGTTTCTCTAAAAGCATTTTGAACTTGAAGTCTAACTAGTTTGGGGGAAAAAAAAATTAAGAGTTTTAGGTGACCTCATTGCTCTTGATCAGTGCAATCCATTTTTTGGCAGGTTTTATACCACTCTGATCTATTTTTCCCTTTTGCCATGCAAGAAACCTTCAGAAAAGTGAGAAGTGCCATGGAGGAACTGACAACAGAACGCTGCCACAAGTTTGTATTTAGCCCAAATAATCACTTTCAGAAGCAGTCACTGTGCTTTTAAACAAAAATAATCTGAAAAAAATAGTGATTTTTTAAAAAAACCTCCCTTTAAGGAGACACCATAAGGCTTAAATTTGCATATGAACAAATCTGTCCCCATTGCTCAGAACTCTTTCTTTCAATTAATACTTTTCATTATTTATGCTCTTCATTTAAATGAATCAATTCATTTATTTTCCAGTCTTGCACTGAAGGAGATCTGGTCCATTTTTCTTGCTCAGTACAGCTCCCATCATGCCCCTCATGTTCTGCTGTAGTTCACTGCCTGTGTTTGGGAACACAACCATCCCCAGGGGAAGTCACATCTCTTAAAAATATGATTTCATTATTCTCATTAACAAAACCCACTTTTTAACACCAAGATATTTGACTGCACTCCTTTCCAAATTAAAAAAAAAAAAGAAATAACTTGGGATGATCTCTTTTTTAAACCAGAGTTTCGAAATCCCTGCCCCAGAGAGCAAATTCTGTGAGTTCCTTTGCTGAACGAGCAGGGGCTTTTTGAGGAAGATGTGAAGACCCAACAAAAGAGTCTCTCACAGGACCTGAGAGTCCCCACACAACCCGATGGCTGAACTGCTGCCCCTTTTTCCCGGCTTGTTGCCTTTTTATCCAAGGCTCCAGAACACAATTCCCGGGCGGCCGCATCAAAGCGTGGTGGCAGATTTGCCTTTGGAAGTCAGGGCCTGCTTCAAGCGCCTCTTCAAGTCCTGCATGTTGGGCGACTTGGGCCGCACCAGGTGCAGACCTCTCCTCTTCTCGCCGTTGCAGCTGCCGCTGCTCCTGCTGAGCTCCTGGCACAGCTGCTGGAAGGCCTCGCGCACGCCCTCGCAGTTCTCCCGCGCCGACACCTCGCAGTAGGTGCCGCCCAGCTCGGAGGCCAGCTGCAGCCCCTCCTTGGAGGACACCTGCCTGGCCCGCAGCAGGTCGCCCTTGTTGGCCATGAGCAGCAGGGGGATGTTGGCGTTGGGGTGGATCCTGCGGATGTGCTGGTGCAGCGGCCGCAGCGTGCGGAAGCTCTCGTAGTCCGTGATGGAGTACACGAACACGAAGCCGTCGGCCCAGTAGATCGAGCGGTTTATCTGCTCCTGGCAGCAGATGCTGTCCGTGTCATCCTGCAAAACAGCGGCATTGGCACATCAGGAACCAGCCCCAGACAGAGCTGCATTTGAACACAGGCCTGTTTGCTAACGGACTCCCAGAAACCTCTCTGGAGGTACCAGGGAAACTCCCACTGTGCCGGCTTCTCCAGCCTGGAGAAAAGGAGATCCTGGGGGGACCTGGTTGTCGCCGTTGAGCCAGAAATGACACAAATTCACTCGAAGGCTGGTTTGCAGGAGAAGAGCGTTTAATATGAAAAATGCTCTCTTTTATGGACAGATTCGACACATTCTACTCGATTGGCTAACAAAAACATCTTTCTCACAAACAGTCCTTGAGAAGAACAGAAAAACAGGGTAGAAAAACACAACCTTCAGGTTGTTTATGCTAACAAGTTATCATGATTTCTATGACTCCCTAAAAAGTCTCACAAGTCCACTGTGAGAAAATGAAACCTGTTTCCTCACTCTCTGACCAGGCTGTTGCATCCACACCTGGTCATTGGAGCCAAGTGTGGGCCAGGCTCTGCTCCCAGGGACAGGACAAGAGGAAACAGCCTCAGGCTGCACCAGGGGAGGTTTAGGTTGGATGTCAGGAGGAGTTTTTCCATAGAAAGGGTGGTCAGGCATTGGCAGGTCAGGGAGGTTTGGGGTCCCCATCCCTGGAGGTGTCCAAGGAATGACTGGATGTGGCACTCAGTGCATGGTGGGGATCAATCATGGCTTGGACTCATTCCTATTCCAACCTCACTGATTCCATGATTCTCTCATCCCATACTGCAAGAAAGCAGTACTGTGGAGTGGAGAGGGGTCAGAGCAAATTGGTTGAAGAGAAAAGCCAAAATACTGCTTTGGAAAGTTGGTTCTGAATTCTCTTGTACCCAACCAGTCAGAAACTCACTCTCTTATTGTGGATAAAACTGTGACAGGCACAGTAAGAGCACTAAAAATCCATCAGGTTTGTCACAGCATGACAAATGAACAGTTATCTCCCCAGGTGACTTTTAGGGCTTTTTCCAATTCTTTTTTCAATGTCTCCATGGACAGAGGCTCTCACTAACTCTGTTTGGTGAAGGCTGCCAGGTTTTCCTGCTTTGCAAGTCTCCAGATAGTCAGAGGTAAAGTTCTTTTGAACAAAAGCAATTGGTTACCAAGAACCAATGACTGGAACTGAAAATCAGCTGAAATCTCATTGATAATTTGTGGAGCAGTGATGGGTTTATATAATTTTTTTCTGTCACACATTTCTTGAGTCCATCACCACTCCTATTTAGAGCCCCAACAACCACCAGCTCTGGGAATACAAAGCTGAATGCAGCACTGTGGGCTTGAAAAGAGATCAGCTCACTTGTCAGGATGAAGTCATGATATTTCATGATATTTCATGATATTTCCAGCTAATCCTCTCCTCTTTGTTATCCTTGCTGGGGTAGGATCACCCAGCCAGAGAGGGAGATCCCTGCTGCAGCCTGCTTGCTTTGCAAGAACTGACTCTCCTGTCAATATTACATTTCTGCAATGTTGTAATTTGTTTAAATATCCTTTATCCTCACCTTTTAAAGTATCCTTTATTTATATTTTATATAACAAGCATATTCTTTGTACAGTTCTTCATGAAGCTGATAGAAATTGTGTATCTTAAGGGGAGTTCAACATCATAAATAGAGTGTTCAATTTTTTATTATTGTTGCTAAATTCTACCCAAGAAACTTTCATCATCTTCAGTAAGACTAATAGAAAACATTCCATTATCTATTAATCTATGGAATACATATCTGCCATTCACATTAATTCTAACAGAATTTAGTGCTCAGCACTCTCCCCAAACAGATCACTTTTATTTAGACCTAAATATGAACGCTAAAGCCTAACTTCAGAGAGCAGAGATAGAAAAGAATGAGTAAAACTGATCAGTTTTATTCTGGTCGATCAGACAGTAAGAGAGCTACTGATAAGCTGTGAGGAGGAGGAAGCAGAATTTCTGAAGGGTCAGAGTGTGATTTAGGCTTAAAGCTTTCCCCAGGAGTTCTACCAGCCAAGTGCCCTTTGTAAATATTTCATTATTGCCCACAGAGACACTGGCTCATCACACCTTGAGGTTCTTTGCCCTTGCCAGCTCACAGCTAAATCCTGTGAGCTGTGACATTGGTTATCAGCTGCTCTTATCACTCCTCCCCAATCACCTCAAAGCCCAAAACAGAAAGATGCAAAGGGATCCTCCTCAGCAGCCTTGTTGGAAAGGTTAATGAGAGTGAACTCCAGCCAGGCCGGGGCAGGCTGTGGGAAGTAGGGCAATTTGCACTGTTGGGGTCTGGGCTGTAGCCAGTCTGGGGATAATTAGCCACTCTCCATGTCCTGGAAGTCTCTTTTCATCAGCAAAAGCCTTTCATGGCAAAAAAAAAAAAAAAAAAAAAAAAAAAAAGAAGAAGAACTAATTGCAATGGCAAGCTTTGAAAATGGGTTTGAAGAAGGTGCACATTCAGAGTGCCCTAGGAGCAGAAATTCTCCCTCACTCCAGCTAGGCCCACCCAGTAGTGAGATGGATGGATGGATAATCCCAAGTGGAATGCTTTATTCAGGAAATCAAAGGTTAATGGGCTACTTTTTAAATGGAAATCTCTGCTCCAGAATGAATTTTGAAACACACAGGCTTTTGCAGTGTATAGGCCAAGCAGCAATGAATCACCCAACAAAACCATTCATCTGCTTCTGTTTCTGTCTTACAATTTCACAGTTCTGGGGGCTTGAACCCTGAGGGTTTCCACATGATTTCCTCCTGAAACACTGTTTCCACTGATTTCCTCCTGAGAGTTTCCTGTACTCAGCCTGCAGAGTGCAGGAAACTCTCTTCCTTAAGGATTTTAGTAAAAATTACAGCATTTTCTCAGTCCTAACCTGTTCTGGCACAGTCCCTTCAATATGATTTCCTCCTGACAGTTTCCTGTACTCAGCCAGCAGAATGCAGGAAACTCTCTTCCTTAAGGATTTTAGTAAAAATTACAGCATTTTCTCAGTCTTAACCTGTTCTGGCACAGTCCCTTCAATTATTGCAGATTTATAATTTGAAGCAAACAGACACAGGGTGAGAGGTGGGAGGGTGTCTGTGGGAGATCTTGGAACAGCACAGACCTTGGACTGGGACAAAGAAAATGGAACTCCTTCCTAACTAATTTAAAATAATTTCTGACTAAGCAACCTCAGCTGTAGGCTTGACTAAATTTTGTGCAGCTCCGGAGTCACTGGACTGTAGTTCTCAGCTTTAAATAGTAAGATAGCACCTATGTGGTCTGAAAACAAGAGTTAAATTATTCCAATCCCTCCTTTCTCCATGGGACAGAAGAGAGAGGGGATTCCCTTTGTTCAGTGTTTATCAGGCAGTCCCAGTGGTGCCCAATCCCCCCCAGCTCCTCTCTGCAGAGCAAGATGGCAAAGGCCTTTGTGCTGGTAAATCCCACTTGAATATTTGGAGAGCTTCCACTGCAGCTTTTGTTTGCTCCTGAGTGTCCAGAGCAATGAGGGCTCCTGCACTCTGCTCTGTGCACCCAGCACAGCAGAGTGGGATTGCATCAAAGCTTTCCCCTCGGACCCACTCCCAGTCAGAGAAGCTGGGAGCTGTGGGAGCTTTGCTTATTCCCTTCTGGGAACTCAGGGTGGAAGAGTCCCGTGGCACAGAGATGCACAGGTGGCTCTGTGCAGGTGAAGCAAGGGTGCAGAGCTGTCCAGAGCAGCCTGACACACAAGGAGAGAGGTGGTGTTCCCATCCCAACCTATACTGGCCAAAGCTAAGTCTAGTCTGAGATGAAGGCCACACCTAGAAGTTTAAGCTTGGTGGTGCAATGACAGTACTTGATTTTATCATGAAATCTCTGCTGTTCTTTAGGAATTATTATTCATGAGATTTCCACTATTCATGTAACCCCAAATTTCACTACATTTCCTGTTGCTTTGACACTATTTTCATCCTCTTGTTCTGCATGTGAAGCAGATTTTCAAGGAGAGACAATGTAAAGCCTGCTTGGAAAAATATTTCTAGAAAGAGGTTCCTGGTAGAATATTAAATCTAGACTATAAAAGAATCATCAAATCATTAAGATTGGAAAAGGTCTTTAATATCATCGAGTCCAACTGTCTAGAACACTGATAGAAAAAGGAGTGTGATAAATGCTAACAACTTAAAAAAAAGGAATTAATTATATTTAAAACCAGAGTAAGGAAAGCAGGGCAAAGCACCATAGCTGGAAATGACAGCTGCTGTGAAGCATGGCCCCCTGGAAAGAAACACTTCTCTAAATCTGAGAGACTTTGGGTGTGGAGGGAAGTCCAAGCTGAGCCAGCTGGGCCTCTGGGCAGGTGAGTTTTCTGCCATGCAGGGACAGAAACCACTTGACAGAAAATAAAGCAATCAAACTGTTGGCAGGAGGGAACCAGATTGTGATTTTAGTGCTGTTTAGTAATGTGTTGGAAATAAAATTGTTTTACTTTTGGCTTACTCCTGAAGGAGCCTGATTTAACACCTTCAAGAGCTCATTTAGGTGGAGTTTAATGTACCTTGATTAGTCTTGGGTTTGAGCCCAGGTATTTTCCTGCTGCTAAGCAGAGTTAATTACAGATGGAAGTGCTGGCAATAAACATAAGACAGAAGTGTGTGGAAAAGCACAGAGCAGTTGTTTTACCTCCAATGAGACAAAGGGAGTGTCCTGCACCTGCAGAGAGATCTGCTCCCCATCTATGGTGAACTTCCTGGAATACAAAGCACCTGGGGGAGAAGGAAGATGTCAGTCAGGGACTATACCAGGGAACCAAAATGACAAAGGAAAGGTAAAATGGGACTGTTGAAATCCAGAGCTTTGGGGTTTAGGATGTGAAGGTGCCTGTAGGAAAGTGACTGGCCTGGAGTGTTTGTGTGGCTGTTTGCTCAGCAGAGTGGGGCTGTGGTTGCTGTGTGGGGACACGTTCTGAATGCACAGCCAGCCTGGGGCTGGGAAGGGGCCATCAGGATAGAGTCACATGCTCAAAGTGGACACATAAATCCCACTCAGGTTTCCAGTCCATATTGTCAACTTTAAATAGAGGTGCAGTTCACTTTTAATGATCACAAACGAAGACATCCAGGTGTGGCTGGTGAAAGGAGTGAGTATTTCCTGCTGCTTTTTTCTGAAAGCCTTTAAAAAAGGAAGGTGCTCCAGTTTTGGACACAGAGTGAATGACTGTATACAAACCCCCCAGGTGCTCTTTGGGGTTTGTTGATTTAGAGTTTGGAAGTCCCCAAAGGCTGGACACTTAAACCTGTCTTTGGTTAATCTGGAGGACACATTGACAGGCAAGTGCCAGTTCTACCCACCTAGGCCTGACCTAACCTGGGCTTGAATTTTATTTTGTTACTGCAGCTGAGTTAAATGACAATGAAAATTTAAGTCTTGATCTTGTGAACTCTCCGTGGTTGTGAGAAGGACAGCTTCAGTGGCTAATGTCATCATCATTTTTCTTTAGAACTTAACACAAGTCATGTGGGGCTGTGAGGAAATGCTAATCCACAGCTGTTGTGTACAGCCCTTCTGTCCTGCCCCAGTACAATTGTCACTGCTGCCTCCAGAACAATGTCAGATGTGGAGAAATCCACCCACTGGAGAGCAAGGAATGCACATTAACAGGGAGCCCAGCTAGTGACAGTAATGCACTCACTTCTGAAAATCAGCTTTGTTTCAAGGAAACAAGTGATTTTATTCCAGTGGAAAAGAGCCTGAGCTCACAGAGCATTTTGAACACAAGGAAATTCAGCACTGAATCCCACATTATGATATTGTGGTTTAATACTGTGAGGGGATCCAGCCCTGGCAGGACTTAGTTTGTATTTAAAACCAGCCCTGATTTAAAGCTGTAAAGGTGGTTTTATGAGAAGACACTGCACCCCTGAACCAGAGAGCCCCATGTCCCCATTCCATGATGCTCTGCAGAACAAAGATCAGGTACTGGCCCTGCTCTGCCCAGCCATGCCTGGCACAAGGATAAGCAGGGCTGGGTGATCCCAAGGGCAATCACTGCCACCTGTTCCTTATTGCTGGAATATTCACCTCTCCTGCAGCATGGCCACGGGCCTGGGAGCTTAATGGGAAAACCATGTGGCTCCCAGCACTGCTCTGGCAGCAATCACTGCACAGCTCCCAGCTCTCACTTGATGTACAACCTCCCAGAGAAGAGGTGACAGAAGAAAAGGAGCAAAAGTGCAGCCAACCATCGGGGTTACTCGGGGTCAGGGAGGGGGAGCTGGAAGGAGGAGCTTCCAGAGTGCATTTCCTCAGATCAAAGGTGTCTTGTGCTGCTCCCTCCTCATCCTGAGCTCAGCAAGCATCTCAAAAGTCTCCAAAATGAAGCATTTTCTGAATTCTGCCCACTTTCACCCCCAAAATGTGAGGTGGCCAATGCATGGGGTGTGCAGTAGGGGTGAGCATGGGGGATACATGGATCCATCCTACAACACTGGCCAAATCAGTCAGTGTTTTCCTGGAACAGTTCACATGAACACACCCTCTGGATTAAACAAAGAATTAATGGTTGCTTTGCTTGTCTTATGGAGAGGTTTCAGTTTCAAGGTTTTCCTGGTTATAAGAGCCCCTTAAATAAAGGGAATGCACAGAAAAGGTTCTGAACTGCATTCACACTCCTCAGAATTCCTCTGCCTTCCCTGGGGTTGCAGGGGGGGCAGCACTGGGTTTCCGTGGTTTAGTTGGTGTGTAGGCTGTTCCTAAAGCCTGTGTTTCACTATAGGCATGTCCCCAAGCAAACCTTTTACTCTGATCCTTTTCCATCAACTTGGGGAAAAACAGCTGAAAGGATCATAAATAATGAGCCTTTGATTTATTGCTTTCATAGCTCGAGGCTATTAACTGAAAATATGCACCTTATGGACATCTAACACCACTTGGCTTCCCTGCAACGTGCACCAGTCACAAAACAGAGAGGATTTCTTTTCCAGCTCCCTGCAGTGCTGCTGGGGAGAGCAGAACTCACCAGTGTTGGCCTCGTAGTCCCCAATGAATCTCTTGGTGAGGAAGCGCACCACCAGGGCTGCAAAACAATGACAGAAAGGTGGGTCCTTAGTGAGAGCCCTGATCCCTCCTGGCAAATGAAATGTCTTATTCTGCAAGCTCCTGGGGCATATTCCTGCAGGAAGGAGTCTCCCATGAAACCAGGTTAATCTCTGGATTGCTCACTTCTTCTGCAAGTGCTGCTCTCAGCACTCTCAGACAAAGATCTGGGGCCAGCCTGGGATACCCAACACAGAGTTTTTCACAGCTTGTGTTGGAAATAAGCCCTGAGATTCAGGGTGGCAGCTCAGCGTGGGATAGGGAGGTTGTTTCCCTGTGTTTACCTGCAGGTAAAACAATCTGTCCTTTGCTTTGAAATAATTTAGAAGAAGAGTAACAAGCCAGTAGACTGCAGCTAATCCAAATTTAAGCATTCTCTGTCATGAAAGAAGTGAGGCTGATGGATGGAATGGTTCTTTCCAGCCTTAAGACCTCTCACAAAACCCATTAGGGATATCTAATCACACCCAGCAAACAAACTCCATGTGCTCTGCACCCTTGGGTCACGCTGGAGTACCCTGGGCCTTCTTATTCACCATAACCTGAACTTCTTTCTTAAACTCATTGATAAGAACATTTTCCTTTTCTGCATAAAACATTTCAATCCCATCATGGCAACAGTAACTTATATTCCTGTGGTGCTTTGATCTCAGTAGATTCCTAGTAACTTGCAACACCACTTAATTAAGAATTAAATGAAATGTCTTATTCTGCAAGCAACATTATTTTATAATAGATTTCATTTCAAGCAATAATTTTTCTCACAGTGATACTGGGTCATCCTTTAGCACCCTTAAATGAAATTGCCTGTGCAGCTGTCTTCAAGAAACTATTTTAAAAAAATAATATGAAGATGTGGCTGCTTCAAAGCCAAAACAAACATTTTGCTGAATCCCATGGAACCACAGATGTAATAAATCAATCTGCTTTTAATAATTCCTGAAATCATGGACCAGATATTCAAATGCAACAATGCTCTCTCTACCCTCTTTTCTTCCCCTCTCCTTTGGAGAATAATAAAGGCACATCTTTGTAGGCTGTGATTTGTCTGCAGCGCATAAAACACTTACAGCAGGAGGATAAAAGCCACCTTGTGGGGTGTGGAAATTTAGCTACAGTTAAATAATTTGCACAAGAGCATCTAGAAGCATTTGTGAGTACAAAACTCACTGCTGGCTCACGTTGGCTCCTCACGCATCTACAGCAAATCTGCCTCACAAACTCGCCTGTTTTTTTTTCTTTAAAAAAATAATAAAAAAGCAAATTGAAATAGTTAAGCTGCGGTAAATGCCACCAGTTTGGGGGCAGCGAAGGAGCTGGGAAGGAAAGCAGGGCACACACCTGTGCCTTACCTGTCTTGCCCACGCCGCTGCCGCCCAGCACCACCAGCTTGATGATCTTGTTGGGCGCGCAGTCCAGCACGGGGTACTCCGGGATGGGCAGCAGCAGGAAGTTCGTGGAGTACTGAGACATCGTGTCCTCAGGGATGAGAAGCATGCCAGAAGGGATGGCTGCTCAGCCCGGGCTGCGGGAGAAAAGCGGGAGCGCGGCTCCGCTGCGCCCGTCCTCGCCCGGCTTTCCCGGCAGCGAGAAGCGCGCTCATCCCACCGCAGGCGTTCTCCCGAGGAATGCGAGAGAGAGCCCGGCCTCCTCCGGCCGATGCCTCAGCTCAGACAGCGACTTCGGAGAGCCGAAGGGAACTTTTTGATCGGCCCCCGTGAAAACTGACTCCGGCAGCCCGCAGCCAATCACGAGGGGAGCGGGACATTCCTGCAGCCGGCACCCCGCGCCCCTCAGCCCTCCCCGCGGCCCAGAGCCGGCACCCAGCGCTCCTCGCCCCTCAGCCCTCCCCGCAGCCCAGAGCCGGGCACCCCTCAGCCCTCCCCGCGGCCCGGAGCCGGGCACCCCTCAGCCCTCCCCGCGGCCCGGAGCCGGCGCCCCTCAGCCCTCAGCCCTCCCCGCGGTCCAGAGCCGGGCGCCCCTCAGCCCTCCCCGCAGCCCGGAGCCGGCGTCCCTCAGCCCTCCCCGCGGCCCAGAGCCGGCACCCAGCGCTCCTCGCCCCTCAGCCCTCCGCACGGCCTGCTCCGTGCTCTGCCCTTGGCTGGCTGCTAAAATCCGGATTTTGGGACTTTACAGCCGGCACGGGAGCGCTTGGAGCGCGGTGCAGTCACGGCCATGCTCTGCTCTAATTCGGCTGTGAATAATCCGGTTCTGCCTGTCCGGTTCCTTCGCCCTCTCAATGGCCCCGGCCCCGCTCTGTTGTTCTCTCTCCATTCATTGTGTGCTGCCCCTCCAGAGCCCCGCAGCCCATGGGACCCCGCTCTTCAGGATAATAAACACTTCCATCCCCCCCTCAGAGCTTTCGGGAGGCTGTGGGATATTCCAAAATCCCAACTGACATCCCGTGAATGCTCCGGGATACATTTGATCTGCTGCTTTGTGAGTCCTAAAGGGCCGCTGGAACGTGGGGCAGCGCTGGGGTGGGAACTGCAGGCTCTCCGAACGTGGGGAAGGGAATTTGGGGCTGCTGACAGACTTGGGCTGGGTGGCATTCAGAGGGAATGAGGACAGAATGGCTTCTCTAGGAAAACTGAGTGGGGTTTTAAGACAGCTGGCAGGGTCTGTGGGATGACAGCCTGGAACTGAACACTGGCTACAATCAGCTCTCAGCTCTCTGGGATGGCAGGGAGGGAAGAACACTGGAAAGGGAGTGACCCAGATAAAGCAGAACTGCAAATAATACGAAACAGATGTAAATTAAACTTAAAAAAATAATATAGTTGGAGCATACATCTTTGGAAGGCTTCTCAGAGGGGAGCAGAGGCAAGGCTGGGACATGGACTCTGTCAGGCTGTGTGGGAGATGTGGATGGGAATGGAGACCAAGATAAGCCCCCCGAGCTCATGGAGACCTGGGGAAGATGATGTTCTGCAGGCAGGAGATGGGCTTGGCTCACTCTGGAGAGGCTGCAGCCACCAAAAGCCTCTCTGTGCCCAGCTGCTCTCACGGCTCAGCCCTGACCCGCAGCACACACCTGAGCCCTCCCCAGCAGGCTCCAGAGGCAGGCTGGGCTCCCAGGGGATGGGGGATCAGGGCAGGGCTCTGAATTACTGCCCCTTCCCAAAGATCCCAGCTTCCACACCAGCACCTCACAGGATGAGGTGGGCGTGAGCTGCCCTGAGGAAAATCCAGCTCTGGGGCTCAGCAGTGCAGTGAAATCAGCACAAGAATGCCGAGATTTATGGACATGTCCCTTTCCCAAGGTTCTGTTTCCCCTCTGAAAGCTCCTTGTGCAGCAGTATTTGTAGAGTGATGCTCTGCAAGCTCCCAGCATTGTTCCTTTGACCATCCTGGCAGCTGATGAAGAGGAGGAAGAAAGGTTTGGAGACTGAAGCAGCTCATGGAACTGGGAGAGAGCGGCTGGATCCTGTGTCTTTTGGGACATGGCTCCTGTGGGAATGATTTGCAAATCTTCCAGTGTCAATTTGCTTCCAGATTTTTGCAAAGCCCCAAACACTGAGAAAAAAAAAAAAAAGAAATCTTTTCCAGGAAATTTCTTTACCGGGGTGCTTTAATCTCACACTAGTTTTGTAAGAAGAGGCAAAATGAGAGGAGGAATAGGAAAAAAGCTCAAAATCTTGTGGTCAATTAATAGGGCAGCACTTTGAAATGTGTTATTGAGCAGGACAGTGATAAATTTGGGATTAGTTAGCAGCAGTTAGTCACTGTCTGCCTCTCTGAGTGCTGGAACCTTTGTTCCCATTTGCTATTAAAAGCATATGTTAGTGAGTAATATAAAACCATTCATCACAATAGTCCTCCTCCAAAACCAAACAGTCATAGATCTGTCAGCTTCTAGGTGGCCAGAAGAGCTCCAGCCCAGGAAAAAAAAAGCCAGATAAGTTCAGAAAGACCATGAAGAATATTCTATACAAGCAAAGACATTCCTGGAAGAAAACAGCTCTGCTGGCTTGCTCCAAGAGGGAGGCACGTTCAATTGAAAAAAAGTTAAAATCGTTTTGGGTAACCAAATGTGGTGCTGAGGAACACAAAAGGGAGTCAGAGGCACATGGAGGGTGAGTTTTGGCCTGGATGAATGTGAGGCAGACACAAAGAATGCAAACTGTGCTCAAAGGATGCTGAGCTGGGATGTGGCACTCAAAAAATCAGGAGTCCCAAGAAGGGGCAAGGAGCAGCTGCTGCTGTGTGAGGAGGGACAGGGAAGCTGCTCCATGTGCTTGCAGGGCTGGATCTGCTGCTGACACGGGAGAGGGGATGTGTGGGGGCAGGAATGAGACAGCAGTGCTGCAGGAAATGTCAAACTGCTGCTTTTGGCAGCTCTGAGGGCTTCTGGTTGCTTAAAACAAATGTGAAAGCAGTTTCAGGCTGCATGTTGGAAGCAGAGCAGTGGAGTTGGAGTTCCTTTGCTGATGTGGTTCAATATTAATTTCTTCTGCACCAGCCCTGGCTTCTTGTGCTTCTCCCCAGATCTCGTTCCACCACATGCAGGAATTTCTGTGCAGAGAGAAGGGCTTTTAGTACAAATAAAAAAACCTGTGCATTCTCCCAAAGTTTTCAGCCTACTCTCAAGCTCCCCTCTCCTCTCAGCTTGGAGGCTTTAATTCTGAAAGGATTCAAGTAAAATACAGAATCAAACCCAGAGATTTTCAAGTGTGGTCCTTGTCTGATTTTCTAGATTGCCTTTTCATGGAGTGAAGCCACGCAGAAGGATTCACACTCTGAGATTGTGTAACCCTTGGCATGTGGAATAACAATTGTTTTTAAAGGAGATGTTCATTGTTTGTGTACAATGAACTTATATTTAGCTAAGAAACCCATGTTTTAAATTCTAATTCTCTTGGAAAAACAATAGCTTAAATTAGAGGGGGAATGTTTGCAAAACTGAGAGCGACTTTGGAAACGCTTGGATGGTTCTGGAGGTTTCACTTTACCACCCCTTGGGTTGCTCATGCAAAAGTCTGTGCCTTTGCATGGTGCACAGAGATTGTTATTTCCACAATGAATTTTTTACAGATTTATTTACTGCTCTGTGTTGCCTTTGGCTCTGTTTGTTAGAAGATTTTCTATTTATATTGTTGTTGGCCCTCCTACACATTTTCAGAGACGAAGCTTGCTAAAAATAAAAGTATTTGCCATGACCACAGTGCCCGTCACAGGAGGATGTCAGAGTGCTTTAAAACTGGCTGCAATTATTCCTCATGCATTGTATAGAAGGAGTAAGAGATGAGCAGAGCCAGAGAGACCTTGCTAAGGTCCCAGCATGTTGGGAAAATGTTTCTCCTTCTGCCTAGCTCTGGCAGAAATGATTTTTCCTCCAGAAGTCCATTTGTAACCATTACATTTGCCTCTGGTACATCTTTCATAGAATATATTGGTGTTAGGGAGACTTGGGAGGAGAAACAGGGCTGGTTTTGGAGCAGAAATGGGAAATGTGGCTGTGGGGAAGTGCCAGGGGCTGTGGCAGGTGCTGAGACAGAACTCGTGGCTGGCGGCTTGTGCACACACTCCTGAATTGACTCCAACCAACAAGAATTGATCCCTGCAGCTCTCTCTGCCCCTCTTTGTGGCAAACTTGGGGCCCAAAGGTCACTTCTGACACTGCACTCAACAGAAATTGTCTTCGAACCACCTTTCTGCTCCCAGCAACTAAATACCTCCAAACTGGGAAAGGTAAAAGAGGAGGAGATAAGAAAGGATCAAAAATGAGTGTGGTGTGCTCAGGGAACCAGCCTTGGCCTGTATGCTCAGAATTCCACCTTGCTGAGTTTAGATGAATTAAAAGTGCATCTCTGTGCTCCAGCAGTGACCTCTGGATACATTTTGGGCAAGACTACAATTTTAGCCCCATAATTCTACTCAGTACCAAGTTGTTCTTATCCTGAGGCCAAAGGGCAAGGAAATGTCCTCAGATGCTGCTGCAGCAGCTGTGATAAATCATCTTTGACTCTATTTTGGGACGTAAGAGAGATGAACATTTAAATAAACACTTCAGTCTGGTCAAACACTGTACAGCTTCTATAATTCCTGCATTTCCTCTCTCTAATTTTAAAGCACTGCCACTCATGGCAACGCTGTGAGGAGCACGTGTACCTTTTCACTTTGGGGATATTTGCTAAGGGTTGGGGTTTTTGTGCTCCTGAGGAGGCTGTGTCCCTGGGGAGGCTGGAGCAGATGACGTGGGAAGCCCAACATGTGCAGGAGCAGATCGCTGCAGGCCAGCAGCTCAAACAGAATGGAAACATCTCAGCCTCATAAAAAAGTTTCTGCTTTGGAAACAGAACCATTCTCCCTTCCCCACAGATATTCCCACAAGGTCAGGGCTGGAGAGTGGAAACAGCCCTGGCCCAGCGGGGACTGTGAGCAGGGAGCTCCCAGTGCCCTCAGCAGCACTCCCACAGCTCTGGGGGACAAGGGGAGGCTGCAGCCTCCAGGCTGGGCACAGCTCTGGGTCAGGATCAGCCCATCCCCAGTTTCTGCCCATTCCTCGCTGCTTCCCAGGGCTGTTCCTTCTGAGGTGTGTTTGCTGTCACTGTGCCCTGCAGGATGGGCTCTGTGGTGTCTCAGGGGTGCTTCCCACTCCTTCTCCCACAGGATTGACAATGGGCACTGTTGTCATTCACAGAATTCACAGAACCACCGGGTTTCAGAGTGACCTCCCTGCTCCTGCTGGGCACAGCTCTGGGTCAGGATCAGCCCCATCCCAAATTTCTGCCCGTTCCTAGCTGTTTCCTGAGGCTGTTCCTTCTGAGGTGTGTTTGCTGTCACTGTGCCATGCAGGACGAGCTTGTGGTGTCTCAGGAACGCTTCCCACTCCTTCTCCCACAGGATTGACAGTGGATTGACAATGGGCACTGTTGTCATTGCAGGCTGAGCTCTCAAAGAGCCCTTTTGTCACCGTGCTGGAGTGGGATGTGTGGTGTGGAACAGCAGAGGATCCCTGGGCTGCACCACTGTCCCGCCCCAAAATTCTGATTCCCAAGGAGTCTTGGGAATCACAGAGTTCCACAGGCACCTCTGAGAGTTCTGGTGCTCTGGGCTGGCCATGGTGTCCCTTGGGGTTTTGTGACACCCCCCAGTTCCCAGCCCCAGCCCTGTGGGGACAGTGCCTTCCTCCAGTGTCACAGAGACCCCGCAGTGCCCATCCCATGGGGCCTCCAGCCTCCTCCCCGAGCCCCGGGAACCACGGGATATCCTGAGGGACGGGGAGCACAAGGGTCATGGAATCACAGACCCACAGAATGTTGCGGGTGGGGAGGGACCCTAAAGCCCATCCAGTGCCACCCCTGGCACCAGGGACACCTCCCACTGTCCCAGGCTGCTCCAAGCCCTGTCCAGCCTGGCCTTGGGCACTGCCAGGATCCAGGGACAGCCACAGCTTCTCTGGGAAAACTGTTCCCCATAACGATCCCAATTCCATTCTGATCCTTTTCCCATACCATTCCCGGTCCCATTCCCATACTGATCCCAATCCCATACCAATGCCATTCCCATTCCCAACCCATTCCCATCCTGATCCATTTCCCATCCCTGTCCCATTCCCATTCTCATTCCCATTCCCCATTCCCAATCCCATTCCAATTTCCATTTCCATTCCCATTCCCCATTCCCCACTCCTGATCCCATTCCCATCCCCATTCCTCATTCCCATTCCCCATACCATTCCCATTCCCAATCCCACTCCCATTCCCCATTCCCATTCCTAATCCCATTCCCCATTCCCATTCCCATTCCTGATCCTATTCTCCTTCCCATTCCCCATTCCCAAACCCAATCCCATTCCAATTTCCATTCCCATTCCTATCCCTATTCCCCATTCCCATTCCCGTTCCAATCCTTTTCCCATTCCTGTCCAATTCCTAATCCCATTCCCCATTCCCAATCCCAGTCCCATTCCAATTTCCATTCCCAATCCCAATCCCATTCCCGTTCCCATTCCAGATCCTGTTCCCAATCCCCATTCCCATTCCCATTCCCGTTCCCAATCCCGTTCCCAATCCCATTCCCGTTCCCGTTCCCCAGCCCGTTCCCTCCGGACCGAGAACGCCTCGGAACGGTGGTTGCGCGGCGCCGGCGGCGCGATTCGGCGGCGCACAGGCCGGGCCGGTTAGCGGGTGCGCAGCTGGCGCTGTCAGTCGCGGCCCAAGATGGCGGCGGCCGGGGGCGGATGGAGGCGCTGGTGACGGTGCGGAGACTCGCCGCCGTGTGTACCATGGTGAGAGCCCTCGCGGCCCCACGGCCCGCACGGCCGCTCCTCAGGGGCTCCCGGCCTTGTGCCCCGCGCTGAGCGGCGGGGAGAGCCCGCCCTCCGCGCCCCGGCGCCGTGCGGGCAGTCCAGACCCATCGCTGCGGGAGGCCCCGCCGCCGGCACCGGGGGCTGAGGGGCCGGGGCGGAGCGCCTGTGCCGGGGCAGGGCGAGGGGAGCGCGGGGAGCCGCGGCCGGGCTGAGCGCGGGTGGCAGCCTGGCCGGGGCTCGCAGGGGTTTGGGATAATCGGGCTGAAATCCCGCTGGGAAAGGTGCTGGAGGCTCGGCAGAAACGCGAACTCGGCTCCCGGTGGGTGTGTCTGCGGCCGCCTGTGCCCTGAAATGTTTTTCGGGCTGGTGGGTGCTGCCTTTCGCCGAGAAAAGGAGTTATGGAGCATTAATTGGCCTCGTGCCCAGGTCGTAGTGGGGTGTTGTGATAACTGAGTTCATTTTAAAGCTCGTTCTACTCGTTTGTCAGAGCTCTGCAGTCGCTCCACGTGCATGCGTGTACCGGGACCGTCCTGCCGCCAGGGAGAGGGGCGGGCTGGTAATTGCATGATTATGCAGAATTTTTAATGAAGTTCCGCTGCCGTGTAAATAGAGCCCGGAGTGGCTCCGAGCAGGGAAATATCTGAGCCCGGCCGTGAGACACCGGAGCTGCGCTCCGAAACCTCCGGGGGGAGCTCCGTGCCCTGAGCCGGGGCTGCAGCTCCCGGAGCGGCAGGGAGCGGCCTGGGGGTGCCCCCGTGGAGCAGTTTGGCTCTCACAATCCCACCTTTTCATTGCTCAGCCTTCCATCTCCTCCATCTCCCTCTGCAGCGCAGCAGGGGCTGTTCCACACCAGGTCACTGGCTGTTTTCACCTGTGTGGGACAGCAACAGGACTTTCCTCCTGCTCCATGCAGGTGCTGACTGCCAGTGTGAGTCCAGGCCCAGCTGAACTGAGCCAGTACAAACTGGGCATTTGCAGCTTCACACCTCTAACGAGAGACATTAATCTTTGCTTTTCAAGTCCCTGGCCACGGAGACCTCCCTGGAAGTCTTTGGGAGAAGACTTCCCAGGACTTTATCCTTCCCTAATCTCATCAGTTGGGGTTTTTTTCCTGCATAATTTGTATTTTTGAATTGCCATCACAGACACAGGTGAGATGAAGGCCATGAGAGGTGAGTCAGGAATCTGCCGAGGAGTTCTGCACCCAGAGGCAGAGATTGACTCAGTCCCTGGAATATTTTGGGTGCATTCCTGAGAGCAGCTGGCTGAGCCTGGGACTGAGAGGGCAGAGGGAAGGCAGAGCATTTCCCTGGGACTGTGCAGCCAGACCTCAGCACATCCCAGTGGGGTTTTGGCAGTTTTGCTCCTGGATTTTGGTGGGAATGGTGGATGGAAGCTGGGCAGGTTCCTCCCGTTCCCCTCCTGAGGTGCTGGGGGTGTTCTTTTCCGAGAACTGCAGCAGCTCTGGGGGGGCAGATTCTCCCCATTGTGTTTCAGGTGGAGAATTTGCTGTTTCAGTTCTGTGCAGAAATTCTAGAGCAGTGCTGGTAGCACTAAATGGCTTCCAGATTTCTTAATTAGTTGTTTAATCAAATGCTGTGGGATCTGTTAGCATCAGTGTTTTAGGTGCAGGTGTAGCTTGGCTAAACTTACTGTCAATATTAACATTTATTCCTTCACCTAGCCCAGGAAATGAAGGTCTGGGTCCCATGTTTCAAAACTGGATCAGTTTATTTGCATGTCCAGCAAGTAAAAATACTGTTTGGTTTGTCATAAAGGTAGATGAAAAAGCTGAGCCTTCTTTTTAAAAACATTGAAATATATGAACAAAGTCCCTTTGGGAGCTGCTTTCTTCAGGATTATGCTAAACTGTAGTGATTGTACAGGACTTCACATATTTTTTTAGTAAAATATGCAATTTTTACCAGCATTTCTAGTCATCATCTGTGCTCCAGGCTGGAAAAGTGAAACCCAGGTTTGTGACATTGTCAGACCCTTCAGCATCACAGGTACTGCTGTTCCTGACTGTTCTCAGCCACTTCATTCCTCTCCAATGTCTCTTTAAAAATAAAACTCCAAGCTTGAGCTCGTTAGCAGTCAGTAATGAGGTTGAACTTGAATCATCTCCCCCTCCCTGAAATCACTTGCCCGTGGATCAGCTCTGCTGGGCCTCAGGGTGGTGCCATTTCCTTGGTGGGAGCAGCATCCCTTTTCCAGGATTTTGTTGCCTCAGGTTTTAGCTTTTCTATTTTTCAGACTCTGTGCTGCTTTAGTGTGTGGGTCTGGGTTCACATCAGGGGATGGTGAGCTCTGTGCACAGAGCAGGGAGACAAAACAATTCCTGCTCTAGCTGGGGACCAAGGACAAATGACCCAAATTCAGGCCCAAGAGCACAAACAATGTGAACTGAAGAGAGAAAAACAAGCAGGATGGGACTGCATGGGCTGGAGCTGGAATTGGACAATGAACTCCAATATGCAAATGGAGCAGAACTTATCAAAGTGACAGACCCTGTGACCAATTGGGGATTTTTGTGCCCATTTTGGTTCATCTTGGGTGCAGCCCTGGCTGGGCTCTTGTGCTGCCCAAGGTGCATCCATTGAGGAGATCCTTTGAACAAATCCCTGCTTTATTCTTTAGCTCAGTCCAGCCTCTGCTCTGGGGCAGCCTTCACAAGGCATCAGTTTCATCACATCCCTGTGGCAGCTCAGCCTGGCCAGCACTGGGAGCAGGGATTGTCCATTTGGATGTGATTCATTGCCTGGGGAGGCTGCTGGCACCACGTGGAAAGCACAGCCATGGCCAGGAGCCACTGCCCCAGCTCTGCTTCCCTGGCACCAGCTTTGTGTCCCAGCCCTTCCCTTTGCTCTGGGCTTTGGGGGTCTTTCCTTTCCTTTGCAGGCAACTGCAGGATTGAGGGAAATGGAAACAGAGAGCACTGCTGAGGCATTTTGCTTAAAAAAATCTAAGTTGCTGTTTCAGAAGTGTTTAAAGGGGGTCTGTGGGTCTGGGGTGAGCAGGTGGGAATCCTCTCTTGGCTGAGAGTGGGGAGAGCAGAATTCCGTGGGTCTGACTGCTTCCTCTGACCCAGGATGTGTTTTCTGTGCTCTGAGGCAGTTGTAAAACTGAGTTTTTGAGTCAGAACTTGATTTTGTTGAATTGATAGAACTTCTGGAAGAGGAGACCAGAACTTGAGAAGGGAGCAAGCTGCAAAGCCCAGAGCTGGGCTTTTCCTCTCTGGCAGCTTGTGAGGAGGCTGTAGTAAGCTATGAGCAAAATATTGTTTCTTGTAGGCAATTAGGGCCACTTCCTCTAGATTCATGTCTAATTGTTGGTTAAACTAGTAGGACATGCCTGAAGAACTCCAATCCAGGCTACAAATTGGGGGTAGTCTTACAAACACTGAATCAGGACATAATTATTGACTTCAGTGCTAGAGAGGAGGTGGCTGCAGCATTTGTAAGTCCCACATTTCCATTTGCCTGCTGAATAATTTACACTGGGCAGCTCAAGCAGAGCTGGGGTGTCCCTGGTGTGTAATGTCACCTCCTTGCTGTCACCTGTAGCTGTGGGACTTTGGTTTGGCTCTATCAGAGAATTAACATTTATAGCTTTCATTTTTATCACTGGAAGAAGGGAGGGTGGAAGTAGAGCTGGCTAAGCAGATTTCTGTCTCTAGCAGTGCTTTGCTTCTTGACTGACTTGTTTAGCTGAAAGAAACCAAATATTCATCTTTGCACTTAAAATCCAGCCTGAGAATAACTGAGAATAATTGTTTTGGGGGGAAAAGAAATGCATAACCCTGTGCAAAGCAGGGCAGAGGTCACTTCAAGGTTTTCCCACATGTTGTGTTCTGCTTTAATGCTGTGTGTGGTGGCTGTTTATTGCTGCAGATTTGGGGTTTCTGACAGTTTGGGGCTGGAAGCAAAGGCAGGCTGCAGTTCAGGTGGACCACACAGGCTCCCTTGGAATGACCTTTGGGATTTTACAGGAGTCCTGAACACATGAAGGAGCTTTTGTGCTGTCCTGGTGTCCATAAGCTTTTAAAACGTCATGCTTTAATTGTCCTCAGGAAAATGAGGGATCCCAGCTGTGTTGTGCCATGGAGTTGAGGAAAGTGGGCACTCCATGGTCCATTTGTTCAAAGTAGACACTGATTATATTAGAGGACTTCTGCTTCATAGCTGCTACCATTTAAAAATGAAGTGTGACTACCTGGGCAAGGATGCAAAAATAACAGAGTGTAGCTTGTTCAAGGTGTGCTCTGTTATTGAATCTCTTGTTTGGTTCTTTAATCAGGATTTAGAGCAAATGCTTTTATTGCCTTGGAACTCGTCTGTTTACATGCACATCACTCGCTGTCTTGTTGCCATTAAAAGAGAAATGGCTTTCAGTGCTTGCTCCAGCAGATGCCAGTTTGGGGGAGTCCTGCACTTGCTGCCAAAATAAAGGGCAGCACTGTGCATCATTATGGTTTGTTTGTATGTTGTATTTTCTATTTTCAGCTCCTTTTATAGTGAATACTTAAAGTGGGCTTGTAGAACAGATGGGGATAAACTTTGTTATGAAAGGACAAGAGGGGGGAATGGTTTTAAACTAAAAGTGGGTTAATTTAGACTAGAAAGGAAGGAACATTTTCCATTAAGGTTGGTAAGGCCCTGGCACAGGGTGTCCAGAGAAGCTGTGGCTGCCCCTGGATCCCTGGCAGTGTCCAAGGCCAGGCTGGATAGGGCTTGGAGCAGCCTGGGATAGTGGAAGGTGTCCCACCCTGGCAAACGGTGGCAGTGGTGAGCTCTGAGGTCTCTTCCACCCTAAGAAGCAGACTGGGATAGTGGAAGGTGTTCCACCCTGGCAAGGGGTGGCAGTGGATGGGCTCTAAGGTCCCTTCCAACCTAAACTATTCCATGGTTTTTCCACTTAACCTCTCATGCACTGAGTTGTGAATGTATTTCCCCATTCAGATCCATTGATTGGTCTCA